AATAAAATCTTTAAAAAAAAATTGTTTTCAGAAATAATAATAGTTAAATTTTTTTTAAAACTTATTTTATTTCTATACAATTTGCAAGATTTTATTTCTCTTCAAAGAACTCCAAAGAAGCATAAAATGTCTATAAACTCATAGTAAAATGTTATTTACATTCTCATTGAAGTAATGTGATATAGAATAGCCTTATCTACTAGAGCAGTAGAAAAGTTATCAATCCCCACAGAGTTTGTAGTTACTGGTCTTATTCCTAACATATTTTCAGCTTTTGAAAAATAGATGTGTTTGTTGAAACTCAAAAGAATATTTAAGCTTTAGAACTTCTTGTCATTTCCTATTATTTGGTTTCTTGTATTTGAAAACTGACCTGCCTCGTTCATGAAACTTTAAGAAACTAACAAGGATGATTTTCTCCTGGAACAATGTGATCTATTTGTTCTGTCCTTACCTTGCCAAATCTGATTCCCCAGATTCTGATTTTCTCAAGATCAAAACAATCTAACTGTAACATTACTATTTTGCTGCTTTGTTGTCTTCCCTTTTTTTATTTATTTATTTTTTGTTTAATTTTATTTTATTATGTTAGTCACCATACAATACATCATTAGTCTTTGATGTAGTGATCCACGATTCTTCCTTGACTGTACTTCCAAATCTTAGTCCACCCATTACTATCAAAGTTTCTCCTCAGTGGCTTTGTTACTGTCATCCTTGAACATGTAATTATAGGTAAGTTTGCATTTGTTTTAATGTTTTGCAGAATAAGTATCATTTTGGATCATTTCCTTAAAATATCTCATTGAAATAAGTTAGGATTCCTTTTTTTCTTACCATCACACTTCTTTTTCTCTCCTCACTTGATGAGAATGATTTTCATAAGCTATCTTATTAATGCTTCCTGAATTCTTCCATCACAGAGCCATTCTCTTGAATAGACCCCACATGTCAGAATTACTTAGGGAAACTTTCAGGGTGCACAGATCCCTCTCATCACTTCACATTCTCCGAAAATTTCTCTTCTGCGCTGCTGAAACGTATAGGCTGAAAAAGCTTTCTAAGTGACTGTATTAAAACTCTCCCATCTCTGTGATGTTTAGAACCATTGCATTATTATGTGTATCAATTCTAACCATTTTTGGTAAAAATAGAATCCATGAAAGATTTTTTAAGGTTATCTTATCTCACATAAGAGTGTAAGTCAATATTCTGCAAACGTGTCATTTTTATTAGGTTTTAGTGTGGTTGTACCATTAGAGCTTATACTTCAACATGATTCAAAAATGTAATTTTTTTTCTCCTCCTAGCTGGGGAAAGTCTTCATTTTAAGTGAAATAACTTTTTGTAAAGGACTGATGAAAGCAGTATTATTTTCTGTTTTGTTGTACTGCTTTGTTTTGTGAACTCAGAAAATGTCACTATAGTTGGAGACGATCATTGCTATCCTTGTCAAAAATAAAATTAGCATCTGAAAATACTTTTTGAAATGAGGATAGCTAGGTTATTATTAGCTTGTTGAAATTTTTTTAAGTTACAGTTTTTGCTTATTATATTTCCAGGTTGAACAGTTAACAAATCATCTGAAAGAAAAAACAGACAAGTGCAGTGAGCTTTTGCTGTCTAAAGAGCAGCTTCAGAGGGATATCCAAGAACGGAACGAAGAAATTGAGAAATTGGAGTTCAGAGTAAGGGAACTGGAGCAAGCCTTACTCATTAGTGCAGACACTTTTCAAAAGGTGTGGCATTTTCTTTAGGTTAATTTTATCAAGTGTTTTAATGCAAATTACTCTTAGTTACATGAACATCTGTTCCTTTACATAAAAAATTGCTATTGACTTTTTGTTGATATTACAAAATATAAATATACCTTTATGTCTTCAGTGACATCATAACTGTATCTGTTTATTCTTATCTCCAGCTGTTACTTGCATACCTTAGTCTTGAGAAAGGAAGATTAGCTAAACCAGAAGAATTAATGATCCTTTTAACAGTCAGTAAGGTTGTGATTGTAAAATAATAGCCAAGTGTGAAAAAGCTGTGGACACCAGGTGAGGCTGATGCTTTATCCCAGACTAAGAAGAAATGAAGTCTATTCCCATTATACTGCAGAAAGCAAGAATGAATCGAAGAAGAGCAGGATAAAGAAGGTTAGGAAGGGAGCAGTTCAGGGGATAGCCTCCGTTTTATCTGAGGAATGAATTTTAAGAATGTCAAACATTCCTGTTTGAATTTGTATAAAAATGCATTCAAAACTGAGTGTAACTTTGATTATTCACTCATGTAGATTATCAGCTGCTAACTGGAGAAATGAAAGAAATGAAAGTGCTACTTCTCTAATTAAAATGAATTATCAGGAATTAATGTCTGAATTTTTGAAAAAATTCTTATATATTTAAAGGTAGAGGACCAAAAACAGTGTGGAGCTATAGAAGCCAAAGCAGAATTGTCCCTAGAAGTACAGTTGCAGGCTGAGCGAGATGCCATAGACCGAAAGGAAAAAGAGGTAAGGGGTTTATTTCTAATGACAAAATGTGGTTTGAAATATTTTAAATAATTTTAAGTAAGTCACCTTGAGAATATCATTTGTATAGAATGGAGTTTATAGTCTAAACCAAAGTTTAGGTGATTTTCTTAGCTCATTGCTTAAGTTGACCTTGAAGACGATAAAGATTTGAACAAATACGCTGGTATGAGGAAGAGTGTTCCAGGTAGAGGAGACAAATGTAAAGGCCTTGACATAGGAAGAAGTTTTAAAGACAAAAAGAAGGTAAATATGAATTGAGTGAAGAGGAGAGTGGAGAGAGAGTTGTGTTAGGACAAAAGGCAATCTCTCTTTTTCTTACTTTACCATGGGCTTTGAAGTATTGCTACTTTGCTGTAGGGTTTGGTTTTTTTTTTTGTTTTTTGGGTTTTTTTTTTTTTTTTTAAAGTTATGTTGCCCTGGGAGGTTATAGTGCTATTTTACAATATACTAAACATGTTCTTAAAACAAAAGATTAACAATGAGGTAATTATATAAAGTTTTCCTGTGTTTTTGTGTTCCCTCCTCAAAAAAAAGAAAATCCACTTTTAATACAGTAATAATTTCCAGTTTTAATTTAAATTAAACTTAATTTAAATCTTGGTCTACTATTTTTCTAAGACATACTGTACTCTGCATTATCTAGCTGTATCAAATCATTTAAAATACTTAAGGTTTTTTAAATTACATTTTTATTTCCATGTAATTTTCTCAGGATATTTAATATATTTTAACAAATATTTATTGAACTTGAAAAGTAAATGTTAATAAGTGCTTTGGAAAATATAAGAATGATTTAGACATCAACTAAAATCCAGCTTAGAAAACTTGTGGCTCAGAAAAAAGCCATCTGTATAAATGACAAATAGAAATGATCATCTCCATGAGAAGGTTTATTTTCTTGCTATCATATTATACTGACTAATGTTTATCTAAAAGGTTCTTGATTATTTTGCTTTTTTGGTTTTTCCGCAACAGGCAGGGAACACTTGTTTACCTGTAACCACTTTTATGTGTTTTGAAAAGAATTAACATTTAAAGTACCTTACACTAATAGAGAAATTGCTCTCTAGAAAGATAAACTTTCAAAACTGGACCCCAAAACAATGATAGTTGATTATGGATAGTTGATTAATTTTACTAACTTTATATTTTAATTATTTTCTGAATTTAATATAACATTACTGACACCTTAATTTTTTAAAGTAAGTATCCAGTGGCTGTCTACCTTTAACTCAGAATCATAGTTGTTCAGAACTACAAAGAGACTGGTCAGCCAGCTTCTGTCAGCCAACTCCCAGTGTTTATAGATAAGATAGAGCCAGACATGTTGAGTGAGTAAAGGGTTAAAATGATAACTCATCCTAGTCTACCTAGTTTTTAATAACAGTGACAAGTACTCTGTCAGAACCCACTCATCTGTAATTGAAGACTGAAAGAGAGGAACATAGAATTAAAAGCTATCTTTTAATGAAAATAACTTCTTTTTTTTAATGAAAATAACTTCTTATGCATTCTCTCCTGCACTAGGCAAATGTTTTCAGATATCTGATGGAGTATAAACATAAGATGTCTATATATGTGTCATTATATTTTGAGATACTTTCTAATACTCTGATAGCCTTAATCTGTGCAAAACTTTTTTTAAGTTTATTGTAGGCTGAGAAATGCAGAATGAATAGAAAGAGAAGAAACTTTAAAGATAGGAGTTTTAGGGTGATAAGAGAACGGGAATAATGTGGAGAGAAATAGAAGGAAGAATTTCTTTAAGAAAAAGATGCCTTGGGGCGCCTGGGTGGCTCAGTCGTTAAGCGCCTGCCTTTGGCTCAGGTCATGATCCCGGGGTCCTGGGATCGAGCCCCGCATCAGGCTCCCTGCTCAGCGGGAAGCCTGCTTCTCCCTCTCCCACTCCCCCTGCTTGTGTTCCTGCTATCGCTATCTCTGTCTCTGTCAAATAAATAAATAAAATCTTTAAAAAAAAAGAAAAAGATGCCTTCAATAGGTTTTAACTCTCTATAGAGCTAATGAAATCTAGCTTATAGATGGCAGTAATAAATGGTAGTAGTTACCTTTGTGGAGGTCTGTGCTAGAAAGTGGTATTTTAAAAACCTAATGTCATTAATCCTTAAAGTTTCCCTAAGGATAGGCTCTAGTGTTAACTCCATTTTACAGATGAGTAAACTGAGTCTTAAGAGAGGTTAAATAACTTGTTCATGGTCACACAGTAAGTGGTTGAGCAAGCATTCCTCCTAGATTTCTCTGATTCTGGAGTCCTGTAATGCTGTACTGCCAAAGAATTGGGGAATATTTTGCCTTGTTGGTGAGAAGTATTAAAGAATGTCACTCAACATTTATTGAGATCTTAACACATGTTGACTACCACTATCCAGTTGTAAAACCAGCAGCAGATTTCAAAGAATCTAATGTCTAACCAAGAAGACATATACACATTTGAAAGAGATAAAAAAGATAAAAGAAAACACAAATAGTTGCAAATTAATATAATCCAGTCTAGATAACATATGGTAGCTAAATTAAACAAGATTAAAACAAAGAGCCACTGTTCTATTTTAAAACTTTAAGAATATTCTTGTGGTTTTGGTTGTTGTAGACTCAGTAATAGGACAGCCTGGGACTGAAATTGGAGTCTGGCTGAATAGGAGGAAAGAATCCTACAGTGTCATCTTTGGGAATTGAAGTCTCTGTTGTGATGACTCAAATTCAGCTTCTTATAAATGTTAGTGCTTTGGGCCAGTGCTTCTCAGACTTTAACGTGCACATGAATCCCCTGGGGATCTTGTTAAAAAGAAGATTCACATTCAGTAGATCCGGCGTGGGGCTTCGGAGTCTGTGCATCTAACGTGTTCCCAGATGATGCCAGTTCTGCTGCTCTAGGGACAGCACTTTGAATAGCAAGGCTTTAGGTCACATTGAGAATTTGACCATAAACTCCTATATCAAGAAAGTAAAAACAAATAAACGAAAAAACAGAACAAACTGGTGGTTGCCAGAGAGGAGGTGGGTTGTCGGGGGAGGGTGAAGAGGATTAAGATGTACCCAAAAAAACAAATAGCATTTGAGGTAGAGCATCAATTTTGAACCTAAATGTCTACATATGTACTGAAGTAATACCTTTCATCAAAAGTAGCTGTGAAAGATAGGGATAGGTATAAATACTACTGTATTAGATAACTTTGAAGAAGATAAAATCACCGCAGTTTTCAGCAAACCAACCTGATAATTATATATGAACAACTACTAAGTGTATTTAAGGTGTGTCTACTAAATTTAATACCAGTGTACAGAAAATAATTTAAGTGTAAGTTTTGGACATTACTTATTATAAGCAGGATAAATGATAGTTAAAAATGTGAGGCTCCAGGGGTGCTTGGGTGGCTCAGTCGGTTAAGCATCCGGCTCTTGATTTAGGCTCAGGTCATAATCTCAGGGTCACGGGATTGAGCCCCACGTTGTCGGTCTCCTCACTCAGCAGGGATACTGTTGGAGATTCTTTCTCTCCCGCTCCCTCTGCCCTTCCCCGTCACTTGCTTGCTCACTCTCTCTCAAATAAATAAAATCTTACAAAAAAAAAAAAAAATGTAAGGCTCCAAAGATAAACTCCTCACCACATACATACTAGCCTTGTGACCTCAGGACAAGGTACTTTGTTCTCAGTGACTCCCTCATCTCCAAAATGGGGATAATCCAAGTAAAGATCTCATAAGGTTGTTACATACAGAGTTTTAAAAAAATAATACATATAAAGCACCTTATGCAATACCTAGCAATAAATTGTCTATAAATGATGGCTACTATTACTAGTATCAGTACTATTTCTGTTAAGGGGCTTTGCCTTGCTAGTGCTAAGATACAATTCTGATTACATGTCTGGATGTAAGCAGCATATGGTTCCTTTCAAGTTCTAAGGTAATAAATGATTTATAGGCTGCCCTCTGAGCCAGCTGCTACTGAATAATGTTGCTCCTGCATTTTAGGTTGCTTTTAATGCAGCAGTTTTGATCATCAGATAAATACACATTTGGAAATCATTCAGCATTGAGCTAAATGACTATTCCTTAATCAAGCCCAACTTTTAAAGTATAATGATAACTAGCTCTTGAAACTCGGCATTAATTTCAGTCTCTGTATAACTATTACAGAGTAATTGCTTTATCATTAACAGCAATCTGTGCTCAGAAAAGAGCTAAATTTCTGTTGTCCTACACATAGGTGCTCTCTAATTTTATCCTAAAATGGTATTAATAACTTGCTGTTTAAGTTTCTGTATTTCAGACCTAAGGATCTCACAGTCTTAGTGTCTATCTCTCCTTTCTTCTACTTAAACGAGGCACATACAGCCAAACCTTTCATTAGGTTAAGTATTAGTACGGACTAATTTGAGCTAGTCTCACTTGGTAGCCAAAACAACTGACTTAATTTTGCAGCTTTCTTGAACGTTTTGATAGCAACTAAATTTAACATGAAATAAGATTTAAAATGTGGACTCTTTCCCTTCCTCCCTTGACTTTTTTCTGCTTTGTCAGAGAATATTTTAGGTAAGAAATGGCCCCTTGAATCCCTTCTCAGAAGGTCTTCTCTTTGCTTTGAGTAGAATGATTTAAGGGTGATCAGTTTGAAAATACCTAGAAACCACACAGTTATACCTGGCTTAGAGAAACCCCTTTATTCTCATGGCTCATATGTCTTAAGTATATATGTTTTATACAGCTAATTTAGTACTTTGCATTCTCTCTTGACAAACATTTGTATAAACAGGTATTTTTTTTCTCTTTCCTTTTGATAATTTTGGTATCAAAGATTACAAACTTAGAAGAACAGTTAGAGCAGTTTAGAGAGGAACTGGAAAATAAGAATGAAGAAGTTCAGCAACTACATATGCAATTAGAAATACAGAAAAAGGAATCTACTACCCGCCTCCAAGAACTTGAACAAGAAAACAAATTATTTAAGGTAATTAATTAAGAAAAACTTTGCCTATAAATAATTCATAATTTTTGTCTTAGTATCAAGCATTTGCTGAGTCTAGCTGCTGAATAATACTTAACAGAGGAACATTAGCTGCAAAGGGGTTTGCAAGGAACTTATTTTTAACCCAACATAAACATTTGGATTCATCATGAATGAAAATTTTTTGAGAACTTTTATCAAAATATTTTAAGAATTATTGACTTATAATTATTGTATGATAGCTGATTTTGTTTATTTGTACATTTTGGGCACTTTATCTTTTATAACACTTAATTGAAAGAATATTCAGAAAATTACATGTAATGATCTATCCAACTAGATGGTTATTTTTGTCCCTAGGATGAAATGGAGAAACTGGGATTTGCCATAAAGGAATCTGATGCTATCTCTACTCAGGACCAACATGGGTTGTTTGGAAAATTTGCTCAAATAATGCAGGAAAAAGAAATAGAAATTGATCGATTAAATGAGCAAATTACAAAACTTCAGCATCAACTTGAAATTACAACAGATAATAAGGTACACCAGTTTAAACTTATTACATGAAATAAGCTAGAATTTTAAAGGGCAAATGGTTATTTTTCAGCTTCTCTTTGAGTATAAAAACTGAATAAACCTTAATTCTCTTTTACCCATTAATTTTAATTTATTAAGACACATTGGCTTGGGGCGCCTGGGTGGCTCAGTCATTGGGCGTCTCCCTTCAGCTCAGGTCATGATCCCAGGGTCCTGGGATCGAGCCCCACATTGGGCTCCCTGCTCAGCGGGAAGCCTGCT